ATTGTACAGTGGCATTAAGTGCCGTAATGTGCACCTCTGCCTACCCCTTCGGGGATAAAAAGGCGTGATGTTATGTTATGTTATGTTATGTTATAACTCGGAAAAAGTCACATTGGTACTTGCCGTTAGTAGGTTTCGAACCCGCACTCTCATGCATGAGAAGCGGGCGTCTTAAACCTCCGGGCCACCACGACTGTTACTACATTAGTTGTGTAAAAAACATTAGCAAATACCAACAAATTAGGCACAAAGCGTGTAAACAAAATCTTTCTCAGATATCAACACTTGAAACCAGTTCTAATTACCATAATAATGTCATTAAACATTCTCATTATTATAATTTGTAACAATTTCTCAGAACGTTTCAAATGGAACGTTGACAATGCAGATAAATCCGCCATATTTATTTATTTATCATGATTGTATTATTATGAACGCATGCAATGCAAATTGTAAATGTGATTCGAAATTCAAATCCAATATAAAACCTTTTTATTGAAATTCTCGTTCGATCTGACCAGTTTCAATTCCATTATACGTTTAAAATATTCAACGCGATATATTTAAGGTTTGGCAACCCTGAATAATGTTACCATGTCCAGACTAACACGTGGCTGTAATAAAGTAGTTATTTAATACATGACCGCCATGACAGATGGCCGAACCACTGCGTTATGACATGTACAATAACAGTTACATTAAAATACAAAAGTTACGACATTTAAGACAGAACACTGAATCGCAATGTCCAATGTTTAGTTAGGGATAACTTCATTAAAACACATTTTATGAATCTACATAAAGCGTTTGTAAATCGGATTTAGCTTCTGTAATCTTTGAATAAAGACAAAGGATTTCAGAGAGATAGATTTAACTGAATCGGTCAACTTTAGAGCTCAAATTCAAATAAAGCATTAAAGTGACAAAATAACCGATCCATGTAAAAACGCGACACATTAGCACTAAGCTGCTAGTTTACAAAACAAAAAAAAAACGACGTATTAGCACCTCTTTCTGGTTTTTGGAGTCAGTTTAAAATAAAGCAATGCTTGCGTTGTGTTTCGTCGTGTGAGTGAGGTTACCGGAGGCCCAATTACCTTCCCCTTCCCCAATCTCCCCAATCCCTGAATCCCCAAATCCCCAACGATCCTCAAACTCCTAATCCCCAAAAAGCCGGTGACGCACTTGTAACGCCTCTGGTGTTCCAGGTGTCCATGGGCGACGCCGATTGCTTACCATCAGGTGATCCGTCTGCTCGTTTACCGGCTAATGCCATAAAAAAAAAAAAAAATGACTGCATCAGTTTACCTTAAGGTTTAGACTGCCAATAGAAAACTGTTGAAGAGAAACCCTCCGCTAAAGTGACCCACCATGGCGTTTAATGCGAAATTAAACAACTTTGGACCAGTCTAGATTTTGATAGAAACACATTTCAAAGACTTTAGAGAGATGGCCGTAGTAGAAGTTCAGTATAGTATGACATCAGTCTTCAATAATCCGCAAAAATACACTAGGTACTACAAACTAAATCTAATCTACATTTAATACAACAAATATTGTAAAAAAATAAAAACTTACCGGTGTTCTCCTTGATAATAGAGTGCCAACGGGACTTGGTATCTTTGTGGGCGTCCCAGTGAGCGGGCTGCGGGCTGTCAACAAACATTATGTATGTCACTGATAATGTACTGTTCTGCTGTTATTTTTTAGTTATACATTCACAACTTATGCTGGACAATTTAATATAAGTATAGAATTGTTGTTGAAAACATGTTATTAAATATTGGGTGTAAATACTAGATTCCGTGTTATTTTCGATAATCTAAACTCAGTGCATGCATTTCAGGTTTCGGTATTAAGTTTCCATCCAACTTGTAATCGTGCCACAGATTGAGCAGCAAATCATAAAAGATCAGTCAACGATGCGTTTCAAAAATCAAGAGACATAAAATTTCGCAACCGCAAAAATGGTCTCCTCAATCCAAACGAAGACCTCGTATATAACAACCACGTATGCAACCTCTGGACCATTGCAGAAGATTTCTAAAGCTCAAATTAAGTTCCGAAAACTAGTAATTTTACCTTACAAATACAACATTGCATCATACAGGCGACCTTAGCGTGCTATATTGCCATAACGACCCCCAAAATAATTTTCTGCGGCACCTAACTTGTTTATTGCAAATTCGGACTGTGCCATCGCTAAAGTATGTTTGTCAAAATAAATAACAAACAAAATTATGAACTACTGGACTGTTTTTTGTGAGAATATTTCGAGTTTTGGGCAATTTTAGTCCGATTTTTGGTATAGATGGAACTTTTAAGGGGTTTCCAATTAACATCCCTTGGTGGAGCAATTTTTTTGAGAGTATTAGATAGAAAATTCACTGCAATAACCGATTACAATCTGTTTCTATTGCTAATGGATCTTGTAATATTCTATCTCTTCCATAGATAGGGTATATTTCACGACAAAATACGATTTCTGTACCGATAAAACTTTTAATATTCTCGTCAGGTAAAGAGAAAATGATACTACAAGATGGAGTATTCTTAGTTCAGTTTTCGATCTAAAAATCTATTCTAGAAACCCGTGGGCTGACAGTTCAACCCAGTAACGAATGTAGGACGTCTAGAACAAAAATATTGTAAGAACAAACATATAGTTTGCATAATACTGCCCACACGATCTTCATGGCCATTATGTTAATGAAATAGGAACCGATACGGCCATGTTGTGGCTTGCTGACAACCACATAGGCAAGTACTTGTTTTTTCTAAAGATACCTCATGTAGTGTAGTGGCGTTACGTTATGTAACAAGAATATAATATCATGTATGTTTTACATTGAAGACGCAAGAAGGGGTGTACTGATAGCGCAACCAATTTCCTCAGCTATCGCCAAACTTCAGGCACTAATTTAGAGCTCTTTCTGCTTAGAGAAAATTTTACCAAACTAATCTTAAACAGATCTATGTATGTACAAATTTTCATTGTCATAATTCTATTCGATCAATATAGCCAGCATTCTGAAAACCCAAATAGTTATTCAAAAAAGTTATTTTACGCTCTTCGGATCTTTTATTTTCTAGACTCATGGGATTTCATAGAGGGCCCTATAAAATAGCTTTTCTGAACCATTCAAATATGGTAAGACTTCAAAATAACATAACATAATACACGCCTTTTATCCACGAAAGGGTAGGCAAAGGTGTACATTACGGCACTTAATGCCACTTTACAATGTAACACCCACTTTTCACTATTTATGTTATGAGTCCCATGTAATAGGGGGTGAGCCTATTGCCATATACCGGGCACAATTCCAGACTCCGTGCGACTTCAAAAAAGTAAAATAAATTCCTACCAATCAGTTAGCTCCATTGAACACCAGCTTTACAATCGCAAGGAGCGCGCCATTAAGTATAACTGGGAGGCACTTTAATAACTCACTTCCTTAATACAACACTTAATGCTTACTGGAAAACGTTCAGACTAATGTTTGCTTTTGCAATGCACTACATGATTATTATGCCCTCTTTTTACCTGGAGGGACTAAGATGTAATGTGTATGTGCCTGTTCGCAAGTTTGACTTTCATCATTAGCCTGTAAATGTAATGCGAATCACTTTGGGACAAGCACCTAAATTCACTAACATACAATTCAATTTGGACATTTCAAAAGTACTTATTTTTGACTGCTCCCGCCTGGGTGAGGCGGGAGGGAGTGTCAGACTCTTACTGACTAAAAACCACCCCGTTCCTTCTCCTGCACGTCGAGCCGGAGCCCCGGTAACCCGTTAGGTTCTCCGCGACAAAAGTACCTATTTAAGGATCAATTGAAACAAATGCCTTGACTTTGACTTTACTTTGTTACAATTCGATTGTCCAAAATTTTACTCGGTTTTCCGATATTCACTACAAACTAAGGCGCCATCACCTCAAGTGTTTTTAATATCTTGCTTGTATTTGACAAAAGCTCTGTCTAACATCGGTTAGTAATTTTGGCTGTACATAAAACAATCAGTCGAATAGGGATGATGACAGGGTATTAAAATTAAAAATATAATTAGTCCGTCAGTTAAGGCATTGGCTGCCAATAAAAAACTATTGAAGGCAAATCCTCCGCTAATGTCGGTCACCAGTGACTGCCATGGCGTTTAACGTGTTAAGTAATGAAAAAAAATTAGACACTAGACACGTATTTTTTTATTTTGATGTATAATAAAATGATACTTAGATATAACGAATCAAAGTTTAGGAGTGGGGGCTAAAACGTCATTTCTACGTATAAAATGTACATAGAAGTGACATCACGCGACATTTCAAATCAATATATGGTCAAAAGTATTCGTTTCTGTAAAAAAAATAACCTACCAGACGGACATTAAAATAAAAATTAGTCATCTACCCTATTATCCAGAAGCAATTCAAAATGGCTACTATTTTTCATGATTACGATTCACTTATCCCCCTAGTCTTTAAGTCTTATCACAGTAATTGTGTCTACAGAAAACCCCATTGACTTATATACCGCATCAATATTATGCACCAGATGTTTTCAAAAAGGCAGTAAAGTGGTTCACCTTTCGACAATCGACATGCAGTAATTTCATTTAACTGTTATCGACTCGTACTACTCGATATGTAACGAGTGTGAGAACGGTCCACCCTTGAACTTTGCACAAACAATTTAAATACTGCATCTTTAATTAATGCAATTACAAAAATAACCAGTAAATACTGTCGTTCTACGTACTTTCGAATGTATAGTTGCAATTATAATTTCAAATACATGCAATAATATTTCCAAAAACGTTACACACAAAAATATATAGAAGCTTCAAATAATAACTAAATACAAATTTCTTCAAACCATAATAAAACTAACTCAGAATATTTTACACTTACAAACATCACAGCCTTAGTAACCGCCCAAGGTTACTATCATTTCAGAAAAAAAAATAATCATCATTACAAATCCAGCTGTTTCGGAGTTTATTGCACACATACGTTTACAGATTAGTGGCAAAATGTTTCTAAACCAGATGTGGGTTGTAATAATTACAAACTTTGATGTCAGTATTTATTTGGCTCGCTACAAACATAATCAGATCAATTCTTTATGATTTTCGCAGACACAATTACGTATAAACTAACAATCGAATTTTATTTTATTGGATTTTTAAATGACGTCACGTCTTTTCGGAACAGATTAGCGATAGATTTTTACAGTTCTATGGCAAAGAAGGCAAGCCTGTCGCTAACGGACACAATTCCAAACTCTGGTAGTTTCTTAATAAACGAAAACCCGATAGTATTTCTCAGACGTCACAAATCAGAGTAGGTACATTTGGAACTAACTACACCAAGGTACTCTTTATGCAGGCTTCGTAGGAGCCAACTAAAGGACTATAGACATTTGACAGAGACAGGGCAACTCAAACTCAAAAGCATTTATTTCCATTAAACCATAATTTGGTACTTTTGAAACGTCAACAAATATGAAATAAATAATAGTCTGTCAGTCTGTACGTCAGTGAAGCTTGAGCGCTCGTTCCAAAATGTCGATTCGAGTGGAGAAGAACGATCAATAAACTCCATTCATTACTCTTTTTAAAAAAAAGTCTGTTTTACACTGCTCCGATACATATTCTGTCACACACAACAGATATTAGACACAACAGATACATCTTCTGACACAACAATTCTGCCAGATCAAAATCACCTTGACCGGTAGATTCTATATTTAAATAAAACTGACAATAAAAATTGACAACAAAAAAACAAATTCTATATTTAAATAAAATTGAATTTCAGTTCGTTAATCTCACTAAACTCGAGAACGGTTGAACTGATTTGGCTAATTTTCGTCTTGAAATGTTGGTAAAAATCCAGGGAAGGCTTAAAGGTGAGAAAAATAATTTTAACCGGTACGAAGTTTCGGAGCCGCGGAAGACTTAACGGGTTGCCGGGGCTCTGGCTCGAAGTGCACTTCGAGAAGGAACGGGGTGGTTTTTAGTCAGTAAGAGACTGACACTCCCTCACGCCTCACTCGGGCGGGAGAAATCATTGAATGATTTTAACCCCTCAAAAAAAAAGCGTTACGAAGTTTGCCGGGTTAGCTAGTAAAATCATAAATACGTACGATATGGTGCTTAACATAAATAAAAATAAAAAGAAGCTACCAGTCGACCCATAAACTACATTAAATAAGGTTCAATGAAACTAAATTGTGTCTACAGAAGACCGTTGATTGGTTCACGCCCTTGCCAACACACCCTACAGTTCAACGGTCTATAGTTTACTTTGTTTTACTACAGCAGTCATTGTGACAAGTGACAATTGACCATATCTATACATACACACAGATAAATGAAATTGAAGTGTCCTTTGTAATATTAAAATAACCAATTTGTACTAGTTATATGCAAATGAATATACATACGATACCGATACACATATCAAAATCACATTTTTTACAACTTTTGTCTGTCTGTCTGTGTGTTTGTGCTGGCTAATCTCTGGAACGGCTGAACCGATTTCGACGGGACTTTTATTGACAGATAGCTGATATACTAAGGAGTAACATAGGCAACTATTATTTTGGAAAATTGAAGCAAAAAAATAGTTATGTCCTAAAATTCATAT